TCATTTATCTGTTTTTTCTGCATTATTATGATGTTGTATTATGATGTTGTGTTTGTTGTGTGTTTTAGGGGGATCAAACGTTTTTACAAACGCTTTCACCTTGAACACTCAATGTATCTCATAGATGACTGTCTACAAGTAAATTGCACTGTTGGGGTTTTGCCTACCACCCGAGATAATTCCATGACTATAGAAGTTCCCGAATCTACCATTTCAACAAGTTTTGGGATGCTGTTTGAAGATGAGCAATCATCTGATGTTACGTTTTGTGTCGGAGGAAACAAGTTTTATGCGCATAAGATTGTATTGGCGGCTCGGTCAAGTGTGTTTAAATCTCAGTTTTTCTGTGGAACTGACAAGGTTGATAGAGAGATACTTGTCAATGAGATGGAGCCTAAGGTTTTCAAGGTACCATGTTATTCATTTTGTATTTTCCATGATGCAATAGAGTGATGTTTTATTCAGTGTTGCATATCTATCATATCATATCATATCATTGGTTTGTTTTGGTTATCTAATTTTACTCTTGTGTCAAGGCATTACTGCACTTTATTTATAAAGATACTCTTATAGAAGATGAAGAACTCCATTTGTCAATGTCTTCATCCATGGCTTCTATCTCAGAATGGTATGTATCGAAGTTGCTGGCTGCTGCACACAAGTACGATTTACCAAGGCTAAAGTTGATGTGTGAATCTGTACTTTGCAAACATATATCTATAGATTCTGTTGCTCATATTCTGGTTATTTCTGATTGTTATGATGCCACTGAATTGAAGTTCATATGTCTGCAATTTTCAGCAGAAAACCTTAATGGTGAGTGTTCTTGCTTAGTTGGTTGTTGTTTGACAAAATCATTTGATTGTGATGTGATTTCTCTCATTGTAGCTGTGCTGAAATCTGATGGTTTCAAGCATCTTAAGGAAAAGTGTCCACTTCTTCCATTTGAACTGCTAGAGACTGTGGCAGCAGGAATTGGGTGTGTCAGTGTTGACAGTGATGCAACCACACCTGAGCCAAATGAAATAGAAGCTGAGAGCACAAGTTATTATCCTTCCAGCGATGAGGAAAACCATCTGGGTTGGTAGTACAAACAAAACTAGAAGACAGTAATGTTTGTCATTCTGCAATGTTGTAATGTTCAATTTGTTTACTTTTATAATTTTAATGTCATTATGTCTTATTTTATGTCTTCTTATCTTCTTGTATTTAAATTGGAAAAAGTAAGACCTATATTCTTGTAATTTTCAGTTCAGAAAATATAACTTAAGTATTTGGTTATTCTTTTTAAGAAAATAGTTTACAAAACATTATTTCAGACAATATATATATATACACACACACACTGATTAATGTATTTCCATAACTATTATTTTAAATAAATTGTTAAATAACACTAAATAGCTATAAAGTTCTTAATTTAGATTAGCACTATTTATAAAATCTAGTTAAAGAAAATAATAATAATAAATAATATATAGTATATCCCTTCTAGGGCTTAAATAAAGTTCTACTTTATTATAAAGTCGGTTGTTTAGATCAGAGGCACTTAGTTGGAAATGGAAGGTTAATGATTTTTATTTATACATTTCTATTGGGATTTATGCAATAGAATTTGATAAAGAAGTAAAAGATTTAAGTCTTCTGACTGTTATATATTAATTTCTCACTTTATGAATGGATTTAATAGTTTAAACTTGTATTTTTTTTTTCATTCAATTCACGGTCTATCATTATATCCAAAAGAGTTTTAGTCTTAGTTATTTAAGAGAAACTTTCTTTTTTCCAGATTCTTGTATTTTAAATTGTTTATATGTAGCTATAAGTTCTTCGCAAATTGAAGGTTATATATATTTGATTATCAGTTGTTCATAAAAGATATTTGTAAATTCGTTGAAAATGAAAGTACAAATTAGTTATGAGTAGTGGTAACAAGAGGACGAGAGACGTGTTTCTTTATCTTATGTATATTTCTAAAAAATTTCATTTTTATTCCTATACTTAAATCTAATGGATATGAATTTGTTTTTTCTTTATGAATTTGTTTTTCTTATTTCTATTCTTTTAAAGTAAGGAACCCATCTTCATTACCTAAGATGAAGAATTCTCACCCATGTTACGAGTATGCGGTCAAGTGCAATCTGAGATCCCTCGTCGATAGACATGAATCAGGCGAGTCCGAATCCCTTTCTGTTTTGTTTTGTCAGCTGATCTGACGAGCTTTCATAGAAAGCCTATATCTTATAGTGCTTACAAGAAGAATTGGTGTACAATCTTCTCTGCGCTCTTTGACCTACCATAGATCCTTAGTGGTGGACCGATCGACCTCAAGCCCTATCGTCAAAGACAGACTCTTTTAGTGCAATGAGATAGGTACTTTCAAAAAGTCAGTGGTAGGTTGTTCTCGTCAAGCATTAAGGCGACAATCCAATCCTGAGCTTGTCAATAGGCGTCTCATATTTTTTTATTATTTTTGTTAGATATATTATTTTTATCTTATATTTATTTTCTATTTTTTTATTTTTAACTAGTTTCTTATTATCTTTTATTTATATTTTATATTTAATTCATATTTTTTCTATTATAAATAGAGTACTTATGTATATTCAACATAAGAGAGATTAATTCTATACATAATTTTTATTATATTCAACATAATAGCTAGAGCTTAAAGTTTTTCTGAAAAAAATTTTTTGTTGCTTCTACAACTACACTCGTCGCTACTTGTGGCAACGCTATCTATCGTTGTCGGCTCGCCTATTGCCATTGTCTACCATTACCACGATCAAAGTTTCAATTTCGACCGATCATCAAACAGTTTTCATTGGAGCTCCTATGCGCTTTCAGTGCCTTTTGAAGTTGTAGATCTACTCAATTTTTCGTTGTGTGTGGTGACACATCTCTTCTCCTCTTAGACAGTGATTCATAGTGTCAATGCTTTTTTCTCTTTCAGGTTCCTCGTGCGTGATCATACGTTCCATCTCCTCTCAAGTAACTATTCTAAGCGTCAAGGTCGCTCTTTTTCCTTTTTCAGTTGCTTTGATTGGAAGATCTTGGATTTTTGAGGTTTCTCTCTCTTGTTCATCTATGGCTTCTTCCGTTGTTGTCTCTTTTGACTTCCATTTTGTCACAATTGCATTTGAATCGTCCATATATGTTTTTCCTCCTATGGCAAAGATGACTTTTGTTAGTTTATTTATAGTTGTGGTGGCTCTTCAACAATGATCTCTTTATTCACTGGATGTCAATAATGCATTCCTCAATGACGATTTTCAAGAAGAAATTTACTTGGAGCAACCTCCCAGATTTTTTTCTTATGGGGAGTCTACTAGGTTGATATTTTGTCTTCTATATCGTCTTCGCAAATCATTAACAATTTGGTATCACTAGAATGTAGAAACAAATATTTTCACTAAGTCTTTATTGATTATATTAGTAATTACATACGATTTGTATGCACAAGCTTGATGGGAAGTGTTAGATATATTATCATTATTTTATCTTTATCTTTTATCTTCAACTAGTTTGTTATCATTCCTTATTTGAATTTTGATTTTAGCCCATATTTCTCCTATTATAAATAGAGTACCCTATATGTATATTCAACACAAGGGAGATTAATTTTATACATAATNTTATTTAATTTAATCTAGATTATTAATATTATAATAATAATAATTATAACTCTCATTTTGAAAAAACAAAACTCAATATACTAGACTTTAATATCACAATTCTTACATCAGTTTTTTTTTTATATATAGATAAAAAAGAACTAAAATTTTAAATACAGTAAATAAATAAAGAATAAATAAATTTTCCTGTCACATTGTATAATTTGGTCTTGAATATGATAAAATACTAATTTTATTATGATTGTGGAGCTTACACTCAGCTTTGAAATAAAAAAGAACCAAAATTAAGGTAAAAAATATAATGAGTTCAAAAACAAATTTATTGATTTGGGTAAAAGAAATTAAATTTGCATTTATTTTCTAAATTTTTAATTTGAATAGTTGGCTTTCACTCTTATTATCCTCGTATAATTACATGCTTAATGCATTTATTAATAAGTAAAAAAAATTATGCAATTTTTCTACTATTAAATATAAAATGTTAATAAACTTATTTATTATTATTAATTAAACATCAACAGTTTTTTAAGAATTTTCTTAATCTTTTTATTTGCAATGAAAAATAATGCTAACCTAAAATTTATATTTTCAATAAAATTTATTTTGTCAGTCATTGTTTTTCTTTTTAAGGTGTTAACTAGATTTGAACTTTCTTGAACTTGACGTACTCAAGAAAGAGAGCAACCGAAAATACATTTTTCCAATGAATCAGTGAATGATATTTTTAAAATGTCAGTTATAATTAAAAAACAAATAGTAAAATGTTAAATATAAATAAGTTGTAAAATATTAATGCATATAAACTGGGACAACGTGAATAAATATAATATGACAAAAACAGCTATCATATAAATTTAAAAAAAATAAAAGAAAAAAGAAACGTTAAATTAATTAATTTTTTACATGTAAAATATTAATTTCTTTTATTTATTAATTATTTTTCTGAAAACGTTACTAGTTATTGATAGACTATCCGTTTCTTATAGGTGTTCTGGTGCAGAGTTCAAGAATTGTAATAATAAATTATTTTTTTGATTTTAGTAAAATATTTATTAAGTTTCCTATGTTTTGTGTTTGGTTTCTCCATCACAATAAATATATATACATTAACTAATTAAATATTAAATGAATGATAAAGTATAATGACAACAAGTATTTAATGTTTTCTTGAATTTGGAAGATGATAATTAAATAAAAAATAGAAATGGAACTGAAAGAGTATTTATGCTAAGCTTGTAATGGAAGTTGAGCGAAAATCCAGAATTATAATCTCCATTATAGCAGAAACACAGATCCAGCTACCTAAAGCTAGAAAATGACTCCTAAGAAGAAAAACTCCACAAGTTCAGAATCAGTTACAGTAATGGTAAAGGGTTCACATGAGTTCAAGGTGAAAGGTTATTCACTGGTGAAGGGAATCGGAGTGGGAAAATTTATTGCAAGTGAGACGTTCAATGTTGGAGGGTATGAGTGGGCTATATACTTCTACCCTGACGGTGTAGACACCCGAGAACACGCCACAGTTTATGTCTCGGTTTTCGTTGTGCTCGTTTCCAATGCTAATGATGTTCGAGCGATGTTTGAATTCGCCATGCATGACCAAAGAGGGCAAGGGGAACACTTTGTCCTTGGTCACTTTAATGACACTCTAGGGACTGAGCCTCACACTTTATCCAAGGGGGAAATGTGGTTTGTTTCATCTATTGTTGTTTTAACAGTTCTCATTTATCTGTTTTTTCTGCATTATTATGATGTTGTATTATGATGTTGTGTTTGTTGTGTGTTTTAGGGGGATCAAACGTTTTTACAAACGCTTTCACCTTGAACACTCAATGTATCTCATAGATGACTGTCTACAAGTAAATTGCACTGTTGGGGTTTTGCCTACCACCCGAGATAATTCCATGACTATAGAAGTTCCCGAATCTACCATTTCAACAAGTTTTGGGATGCTGTTTGAAGATGAGCAATCATCTGATGTTACGTTTTGTGTCGGAGGAAACAAGTTTTATGCGCATAAGATTGTATTGGCGGCTCGGTCAAGTGTGTTTAAATCTCAGTTTTTCTGTGGAACTGACAAGGTTGATAGAGAGATACTTGTCAATGAGATGGAGCCTAAGGTTTTCAAGGTACCATGTTATTCATTTTGTATTTTCCATGATGCAGTAGAGTGATGTTTTATTCAGTGTTGCATATCATATCATATCATTGGTTTGGTTATCTAATTTTACTCTTGTGTCAAGGCATTACTGCACTTTATTTATAAAGATACTCTTATAGAAGATGAAGAACTCCATTTGTCAATGTCTTCATCCATGGCTTCTATCTCAGAATGGTATGTATCGAAGTTGCTGGCTGCTGCACACAAGTACGATTTACCAAGGCTAAAGTTGATGTGTGAATCTGTACTTTGCAAACATATATCTATAGATTCTGTTGCTCAGATTCTGGTT